TATATATATATATATATATATATATATATATATATTAAGCGGATGGGATAATGATCCCACCTGAATTCGATCCGAGTCTGAATTCTATAAGATCTGATGTCAGATTTGATTTATTAGATCCAAAAAAAATTAGGTTGATCCGAACTCAAAACCGAAACCTTCGAACCGAGGGCGGATTCGGGACGAAATCAATAGAGATCCCGGGATTTGTCATGAAATTATTGATTTGTATAGATGCTATTGCCTCGGAATACAGGAGCGGTCTTTGCCTGCCCCCCCCCCCCAGTTCGTCATGTCTGATGTCCTTCTCACCCACTTTCACGTCACGTCACGTCACCCAATTTCCGTACGCTTTACCATATCGCTATTCATTCAGATTTTTTCCTTCACCAGATTTTATGGTTTGATCTCACGTTTACTGCGCGATGGGTTCCATCATAATTATTGTACGATTCTCTTAAAATACCTATAAAAAAACCCCCGATAATTGTTTTTATTGATGTGATATTTTTTTTGAATATTTATAAAAAAATTGCAAAATGTATCTTTTTTTTTTTTTACATATTGTGAATGATTGGAAGAAGGAAAAAAAAACTTAAAAAAAGTTGGATGATATAAAAAATGGTAAAAAAATTTAAAAAAGAGCTGCAAAAAAAGGCGGTGGAATAATTTAATTTGATTCCAATCCTACACCAATCTATATAAATCAATAGTTTCATGACAAAACCATTCGACAACACATGCCCAACATGATGAACACAAAGCCAGTGCTTCTGCCACTCTTCCTCTTCCTCTTCCTCTTCTTGTTCGCCGCCTCTCAGTCCAAGGATCTCTGCAACAAAGATGACAAAAATGTCCTCCTCAGGATCAAGAAATCCCTCAACAACCCTTACCACCTCGCCTCGTGGGACCCGCAGACCGACTGCTGCTCCTGGTACTGCCTCGAGTGCGGCGGCGCCGACGTCAACCACCGCGTCACCGAGCTCACCATCTTCTCCGGGCAGATCTCCGGCCAGATCCCGCCTGAGGTCGGAGACTTGCCGTTCCTGCAGAACCTAGTCTTCCGCAAGCTCACTAATTTGACCGGCACGATTCAACCCGCCATCGCCAAGCTCCAGAATCTTCGAAGCCTTCGGCTCAGCTGGACGAATCTGTCTGGTCCGGTCCCAGATTTTCTGGGTCGGCTCAAGAATCTCGAGTTCTTGGACCTTTCGTTCAATGACCTCACTGGCTCGATACCCAGTTCGTTGTCTCTGCTTCCTAATCTCATGTCGATTGATCTGAGCAGGAACAAACTCACAGGTGAATCACTTCCCTCTCTTTTAATCTCTTCAAACCCCTCTTCCTGTTCATCTTTGCTCTCTCCCTCATATGGATTCTGGCGAAATTCTATCAGATTGTGAAACCATTGTTGCTATGTGTTCATGGGTTTGATCTTGATCGCTCAAATTCATGACCTAGATCTGGAATTCTCTGGAGAAAAAATCTGACAATTGTTCTGTGTTCTTGTTTGATGGTTTCTGTGAAGGTCCAATACCCGATTCATTTGGATCATTCCATGGCAAAGTCCCCGACCTGTACCTCTCACATAACCAGCTCTCTGGCCCCGTACCCAAATCGTTAGGCAACCTCGACTTTAACAGGATCGATTTCTCCAGAAACAAACTCGAAGGCGACGCTTCCTTGTTGTTTGGATCGCAGAAGACAACATGGTACATTGATCTGTCCAGGAACATGTTTCAGTTCGATCTCTCCAAGGTCACGTTCCCCAAAACCCTGGGAGTCCTGGACTTGAACCATAACAAGATCTTTGGAAGTATTCCTGTTCAGTTGACCGAGGCTCCTCTGCAGTTCTTCAATGTCAGCTACAACATGCTCTGTGGCAACATCCCTGCTGGCGGAGCCCTTCAGAAATTCGACTACTCGGCTTATTTCCATAACAAGTGCTTGTGTGGTGCTCCTCTAGCGAGCTGTAAGTGAAACAACCCTCAAGAATCCGATGTCATGGTATAATAAAGACTGTCATCTATGATGCAAGATTTGAGATTGTTACCATGAATTGGCAATCATGAATTGTTGAAATCTGTGTTCCATTGATTCAAAAGCTTTTACCGGCTTGCTTGTGAGAGAAGTTAGTAGAACTTAGGGTGCGAGGAAGAGGAAGATTCGCCATGTTCGCCCCTAAGAACCTTCCAACCATCTCTAATGAAAACTGTTTCCAGACATATCGACATCTTTGAAGTGGTTTGTTGATCAAGATTCTGATACATTAATTTTCTTACAGCTCTGAATTCGTATCTAAACTTTCTTGTCAGAAGTGTGTAAATTCGCAAACCCACAACCAAATTACATGAAATATCCCACAAACAACCTTAAAGATTGGAACTTTATTCAAGAAAATTATGCTTTTAACTGAAAGCTGATCGTTAGTCAAGCAGGTATATATATGAGACATTTCCCGTAAACTCAAATCGCATTCCCATCTATTTTCTAATATGAAGTTGGATAAGATGATGATGATGATGATGATGATGATGACAGGGTTAACTCTCATATGAGAAATCGACTCTGATCATAATACAGTAGCGGTTAGCAATCGTTGAGAGGGGGGCCACAAAGGCAGAGGTTATTGGAAAATGCAAAGGCGTCAAACTTCTGCAAGGTTCCGCCACGTGGGATGCGGCCGCAGAGGCGGTTGTAGCTGACGTTGAACTGCTCGAGGGCGAGGCCCCTCAGTTCGGAGGGAAGTGTTCCATAGATTTGGTTATGGCTCAAATCCAGATACACCAAGCTCTTGGCAAATTTCACCTTTGACAGATTGAAACGGAAGTTGTTCTTCGACAAGTCCACCCTCGCCGTCGTCTTGTTCCCTCCGAAGATCATTGAACCATCTCCCGAGAACCCGTTTTCCGACAAGAATATGGAGCCGAAGTCGTTTTCCGACCAAGATTCCGGTATATTTCCTGCAGTATTTAAGGTTTTAAGAAACGTAACATGACAAGAACTGTATCTTAACCGGAAACTTTGATCAAAATGGAAAAGTGCTTCAAGCCCATCAACGGAATCGCATAAAACTGGAACGAACAATCATAAAGATTGAAACTTTATCATGGAAGTAACGTTTTCACCTGAAAGCTGATTGGAGTTAAGGTAGAGATCCGGTACATTTCCTTCGAAAGAACCGAAAGATTCCGGTACAGAACCGGTAAGCCGGTTATCATTGAGCTGAACCGACTGAAG